AAGCTAGTTTAGCTTTTTAACAAACTCTGGTTCCAAGTGTTTAGCTGATGCTTTCCAGAAGTTCAGTGGTTTGACTTTCATTTAAAAATGCTGGCAGCAAACACGGATTAAATGAATTTTGTTACTAAGTTTAGGCCTTAAACATAGATTGCTACAATTTTTAAATGTTTATTTTTTAAGGAAAAAGTGTTTTAAAATCCTTTAGAAATCTGATTTTTTTTCATTTTAAAAGATTATTTTGATCTACTTTAGTAAGAACACACAAGAAGATGGAGTTCCCATGCCAGCAAACAAACAATCACAGAGTTAAACAAAAAGAGGACAATTGTTTCAGTGGTTAATCGGGATGCAAAGAACTAGTCAACTCGCCGATTAGCAAATGCTTACTGGATAGTCAACAGGCTAGTCGACTAGTTGCTTCCCCCCTCCCCTTGCTGCTTCTATCAGCGGAAGTGGGAGGGGGGAGAAGAGGGAGTACACTTCAAAGTGGCACCCCAGGCTCCATGCAATGCTGCCACTTTGAAACGCCGCATGCAGCCTGGGGCCAGCTCAGGTGTCCCCAGGCTGCATGTGGCGTTTCAAAGTGGCAACACTGCATGAATTCCGGGATCAGAGGGGGTGACCTGGGTTCCATTCGGCACTTTCATCGTTGAAGTGTTGCAAAGGCAGAGGCGCCCTATCGACTAATCAAACAGTCACTGCAAAATGCATCAACTTTTTGATGCGTCAATTAGTTGATATTTAATATCCTTAGCGGTTAGGATTCTAGTCTGAGTCATGGAAGAGCTGGATTCAATTCCCTGCCCAGCTGACCCTGGGAATATCACAGTCTCTGCGCCTTCGTTTCCCATCTCATAAGGGAGATCTCATTAAAGATGGTGAAGCACTCTGATATTATGAGGACAAAGGGCCATATTTCTAAGAGATGGAATTAATGGCTACAGCAACAGACTGCAACATATGTGCAGAGAGATCCCAGCAATGACTAGCACTCTCACAACCCGCAAGCGCCTCTTCTCTCCCCTTGTCCCTGCCATGGCTTATCTACTCCCAGCTGCACTTCAGATTAGTTCATTCCTTGTGTCTATCACAGCAGATGCAAGTTTGGGGGACGGGGAGAGAAATCGGAATGAGAAGAGAGTGGTGGCGTGCGGACATGCTTGGAAAGAGCATTCCAGGGCCTTCTCTCCTCAGCAGAAGATTAAACCCAAATCACGTTCATGCTGACATCTTAATGGCACAAAAATCAGGGAATCCAGAGATTAAGCCTAATTGTGCCCTGCTTTTACACACTGCAGTAGGGTCTTATGTGACAGGGCCATAAATCAGAACCTCACGGAACAGTCAAACAGTATGACAGAAAAGAATCCGTTGCCTCCCTTAGGCTAGTTCTTCAAAAAAATCCATGTAAATAAGAGGGAATTGTACACAGGTGTGTGTGTGTGTGTGTGTGTGTAAGAAATACAGCAGCTTTTCAATGGTACGCCTTACAGTTACACCTTAGTTTAGAACAGGAAGTGAGCAATCAATTCTACTAGGGATGTTAAAAACCAGTTAATTAGGTAACCATGTAACTGTGGAAAATTTCAGCTGTTATACAGCCAGCTCCTTGGGAGCGGAGCTGGCAGCCAGTGGGTACCAGGACCCACCTCCCAGCTCCACTCTCGGGGAATATTTATACTGCAGAAGACACAGTGTGGGGCAGCAGTCGGCTCCCACCTGCCAGTCCCACTCCTGGGGAGCTGGTT